ATTAGCCCCAACCAACATGGCCAAGGATGGTGGGAGCTGTCACCCCCAAAATCTGGATGGCATTAGGTTGGGGATGGCTTCTTTAATGGGACACTATATTTAAAGCTCAGAAAAGATTTCTTTAAATTCTTAAATGTGTCCAATACTCCAGGTATAGCCAACATGATGCTTTCCAGGTGTTTTGGGTTTCAGGCCCCATCAGCTCCAGCTGGCCTGTCTAGTGGTTGTGGATGATGGGACTTGCAGCCCACATCATCAAGAGGGTACCAAGTTAAACATGTTTATAGATTTTAATATCTATATGAAGCCACTGGGAGAGATCATCAGGGGGTTTGGGCTGGGTGTTTATCAGTATGCAGATGACACCCAACTCTACCTCTCTTTTAAATCAGAACCAGTGAAGGCGGTGAAGGCCCTGTGTGAGTGCCTGGAGGTGGTTGGAGGATGGATGACGGCTAACAGATTGAGGTTGAATCCTGACAAGACAGAAGTACTGTTTTTGGGGGACAGGGGGCGGGCGGGTGTGGGGGATTCCCTGGTCCTGAATGGAGTAACTGTGCCTCTGAAGGACCAGGTGCACAGCCTGGGAGTCATTTTGGACTCACAGCTGTCCATGGAGGCACAGATTAATTCTGTGTCCTGGGTGGCTGTCTACCAGCTCTACCTGGTACGCAGGCTAAGACCCTACCTGCCCACAGACTGTCTCACCAGAGTGGTGCATGCTCTAGTTATCTCCCGCTTGGACTACTGCAATGCACTCTACGTGGGGCTACCTTTGAAGGTGACCCGGAAACTGCAATTAATCCAGAATGCGGCAGCTAGACTGGTGACGGGGAGTGGCCGCTGGGACCACATAACACCGGTCCTGAGAGATCTGCATTGGCTCCCATTACGTTTCCGAGCACAATTCAAAGTGTTGGTGCTGACCTTTAAAGCCCTAAACGGCCTCAGTCCTGTATACCTGAAGGAGCGTCTCCACCCCCATTGTTCAGCCCGGACACTGAGATCCAGCACCGAGGGCCTTCTGGCGGTTCCCTCAATGCTTTGTGAGTTGCTATTGTTGTTGTTGTTTCAGCTGAAGAATGGGATAAGAACTCTTGGTTTGACAAAATAAATAATCTGATCTCCCAATGTTGAGCCCACACCATTGATTTCAGGCCACAACCAGCATGGGTGAGGATGAAGAATCTATCGTTATCCCCAACCCTTGCAGGGAATGAACAACAGACTGGTCTTGAGCCATATTGATATGTATGGCAAAAAGCTCGGATGCTGTCAGGCCTTGGGGGGCACTAGAAGTCACCCTTCTGGTCCTGCTCTGACTGCTTTGCTGCTTTGTTTTCAGATCTTTGCTTTCAGAATTTGGAACAGCACTGGCTGTTGTTAGGAGATGACTGATGTTAACATTGGTAGTTATTCTTGTACAGGGAAGGTTAATTGCATCTCACGCCTGGAGGCACTGGGTAATCACCACAAGGACCAGCCAAGATCCGTTTTTTTGCCTTCGCTCAGCATTTTGTAACATGTGAAACGATGTGGTGTCTCCAATGCCCTCAAAAAGTACCAGGCCCTCAGCGCAGTGGGTCTGTGGGTCTCTTCTGGAACAGTGAAGGCAACATTTCCACACTTTGGAAAACTTATGCTGGCCTGGTCCAGTTCTGGCTTGGAGCTGACTTGTGACATTTTGAGCTCATGCACACAGTCTGATTTTTTCTTTTATGCTTATTGCCCCTGGAGAGAACTGGGAAGGGCAATTCGAACAGCAGGACTGTATCATTTCCCTTCTTTGCCTTGCCTGGCTCATGAAATTTCACCTCCCGCTTTGCGGAAGGCCGTAATTGATCTGGTCCTTCACAGAACTTGTCCAGCTTGCAATATTGAGCTGAGTTATGAAGTGAGCACCATCCCCTACCCAGAAATTCTCTTCCAGTTCATATTGCAAAAGAGCACCAATACCTCCCCCTCTGACACAATTAAGCCTGGCAACAACAGCATCTTAGGAAACCTGGGAAATGTAGTTTTCAAGTTAAGAAACAAAACCCAGTTTCAAATAATTTTCTTTGTTCATTGCATTTATGTATATCCCACCTTTTCCTCCAAGGAGCTCAAGGAGGTGTACATGGTTCCAGACCCTGCAAGTGTTTTGATTTTCCAGGGACAGCCTGGAAATACAGAAGCTGTCTTGGTTTCTGATTTAAGCTTTTGTTTGTCCTTATTTTCACTGGAGACATGTTGGAGGGTATGTGGTTTCATCCCCACAACGGTCCTGTGAGGTAGCTAAGGTTGACAGGTGGTGACTGGCCACAAGGTCACCCAGTGAGCTTCATGACTGAGTGGGGATTTGAACCCTGCTCTCCCAGGACCTACTCCAATACTCTAATCACTACACCACACTAATTTAACTTCTTGTAAGGCCTATCCAGCGGGACGTGGGTAGCGCTGTGGGTTAAACCACAGAGCCTAGGGCTTGCCGATTGGAAGGTCGGCAGTTCGAATCCCCACGATGGGGTGAGCTCCCATTGCTCGGTCCCAGCTCCTGTCAACCTAGCAGTTCGAAAGCACGTCAAAGTGCAAGTAGATAAATAGGTACTGCTCCGGCGGGAAGGTAAACGGTGTTTCCGTGCGCTGCTCTGGTTCGCCAGATGACCCAGAAGCTGTACACTGACTCCCTTGGCCTATAAAGCGAGATGAGCGCCGCAACCACAGAGTTGGTCACAACTGGACCTAATGGTCAGGGGTCCCTTTACCTTTACCTAAGGCCTATCCATGCCATATAACCATGATAATAACCAACGCAATGAAGAAAAAGCCATATAACCAACCAAACCCCTCTTTATATTTGTATTATGATCCTGAAAATCAAGATTATTATTTTTTAAAAAACCCGTATAGCTATGCATGCTTTTCAAAAGCATGTTATTAACAACAGTTCAAATAATATTGCACTGTCTTCCTCGCAGGCTTAAAAAAAAACAACTACTGCAAAAGTTTTAATTGGCTCTCTTGCAATGGCTGCTGTTGTGCTTTCCCCCTCCCTGCTGCTATCTTTGTCTCTAATTTTTTAATTGATGATTTCCATCGCTCTTATCTTTCCTGTTAGCTCCTGTAGGAGCATGAACTGCTGAAGGTGGTGGTGTCAGAATTAAGAAGAAATAATAATTTAAAAATGGTCCAGCTTCCAGGGATGGGAGGGGAAATTGGCTCAAGTATCTTTTTAATGTGAACCAGTTTCCTTTGCACTTCCCAAAACAATATGCTGCCCTGTTGGCCCTGATCCATGACAGGGCCTTTTCAGTGGTGGTTCCTCCAGTTGTGAAATGCACTCCCTAGTGAAGTGTTCCTGTGTTCATCATCATTAAGTTTCGGGTGGGAATTTGAAAATGCTCCAGTTTACGCAGGTGCTTGGTGGCTGAAGAATACTGTTCCTGGCAACCCCAAGATCATCAGATGGAAGAATGTTTTAACCACAACTGCTTTGAGAATGTTTTTAATTCTAATTGGTTTTTAGAATGTTTTAACTGTTTTATAATGTTGTTGCTTTCTTTATAAATTGTGTCTCTGTTTGCCATCCTGCGCTCCTTTGGGTGGGAGATTAGGATATGAATTCAATTTATGGATAGATAGGTAAAGGTTAAAGTTAAAGGACCCCTGGACAGTTAAGTCCAGTCAAAGGCGACTATGGGGTGTGGCTCTCATCTTGCTTTTAGGCCAAGGGAACTGGCGTTTCTCCACAGACAGCTTTCCGGGTCATGTGGCCAGCATGACTAAACTGCTTCGGGTGCAATGGAACACCATGACGGAAGCCAGAGTGCATGGAAATGTCATTTATCTTCCCACCATAGTGGTACCTAGTTATCTATTTGCCCTGGTATGCTTTCAAATTGCTAGGTTGGCAGGAGCTGGGATAGAGCAATGGGAGCTCACCCTGTCACGGGGATTCGAACTGCCAACTTTCTGATCAGCAAGCCCAAGAGGCTCTGTGGTTTAGACCATAGCGCCACCTGCATCCCCATATAGATAGATAGACAGACAAATGTGAACTGAAATGCAGCTTTCCTTTGGAGCTTGCAGTGCTCCAAATTTTGAGAATGCAGTTCTCTAACCAAAAAATGCAAGCAGGAATGGATTTATTAGGGGAAAGTGCACGAATGCATTGTTTTAGGAGAAATCCCTTGCAATGTGTGCATAATATATATACCTTCATTTGCCCCCTGCCCCAATAAATAGACAAAAAATGGTGTATATTATGAGAAACAGGCACCAAAATGCTGGCAGACTTTTCTTAAAGTTGTAAATGGATGCAGTAATGTGGAAAATTGAATGCACGATTGCAGAAGTTGACAGACTTCTCCGTCCCTGTCTGCAGAAATGTGAAGAACGGACGGAGTGCAAGATTGCGAAAATGGATGGATTTGCCCATCCTTACCTGCTTCCTACAGTGACCCAACAAATGCCTGCCAGAAGCCTGGTGTCCTTATCGCTTTGAGTTTGTTAATAATGGAATGCAAGGGTATGGCAAGGAACAGGCGGCGGCAAGGACAGCTAGTGGTGATCTGAGGACCTCTTAGCCCAGGGCACCCCCTGCTGGAGCAATGAGGCTGTACGAAGACAGGAGTAGCAGAACACCCCCCCTCTCCCCCTGCCCCTGCTCCCCAGCGTGGGACTGCCCAGACTCATTCAGTGATGCTGAAGGGAGCATTATGAGGAGACAGAAGAGGCAGCTTGGCTGTTGCTAGGCAGACGTGGAGGAGGTTGTCACTCAGTTTCTGTGTTCTTGCTGCCCCGGTGCCCCCTCGGTTCCTCTTGACACTCCCAAAGCAGCACTCTGGAGTGACACTTGCTGCAGGGGGGAGGGCAGAACCAAACGAAATGGAATGAAATGAAACTCACATGCAGTAGCAAGCATTGCAATCCCTGGCTACAGTTGCAGCCTGGAGAGCAGGAGCTGAACTTCACCTATGAGGCTAGCTAGGACAGGTAGTATCCAAGGAGGAATGGGACCTGAGATGGGCCTTAGCCCAGTGGTAGGGCATCCATTTCACATGCAGAAGGTCACAGGTTCAATTCTTGGCTTCTCTGGAGATCACTCGCAGCCGAGGAAGATTGTCTTCCATAAACACGGTTTTAACAATGAGTCTGTAAGTGACTGTGGAGGCCAATTCTGGATCCACACATCCTTCCACTGTGGGGACATTGGTTTCCTGCCGGGAGTTGATCACAGTGTGGATTTGCCTTCCTCTTAGCACATTTCTCCCTTGTGTCCTGAGTTCGAGTGTCTTCAAAGCCCATAGTTCTAGTTATCTGAAGAAGTGTGCATACACACAAAAGCTCATACCAATAACAAACTTAGTTGGTCTCTAAGATGCTACTGGAAGAATTTTTATTATTATTTTGTTTCAAATCCCATGATGCCTTTGGTAAAGGCTGTTCTCCAACTGGAGCGCTCGCAGGCAAGTGCTTCCCAATTGTTGGTGTTTATATTCCATTTTTTAAAAACTTGCCTCGCAGAATTTGAGACGGGAGTCACAGGTGCAATCAGCTCCACATAGGCTTGGGAGAAACTCCCATGTCAAATTCTGCAGAGTCACTGCCAGGTAGTGTATATTGTACTGAGCTTAGATGGGCCAGTCAGTTTCCTACATTGGGAATAATTTTGTTTCTGACAGGAAGCCACAGGGATGGTCTAAAAGTGTATATGGAAGGGTGTAATTTTCATTAACATATTAATTTTTTCAAAAAAATATATATATTAAATTTCTATTCCTCCCCAGGGAACACTGGGCTGTGAACAACTGTGTAGCGAAGCAATACAATTAAAAGTAAAATTTAATGAAACATTTAAAAACCAATTACGACCATCTAAATAACACAGTGAAGGAAAGGTAACGATCAGATCCTGCCCCCTTTTTGCCACTGGATGTCTTCTCCTTGGTGGTTTTTGGGAAGAAGGAGAGGAGAGAGCGCAATAATAAAAAGGATGTTTGTTTTTTGTCCTTAATATTGATCTGATAGATTTTAATTTTACATAAAAATTAATGTCATGCTGCAGCAAAAAAACCCATGCATTTTGGCTTATGACAGAGTAATCAAAGAAACAAAGGGTTATAAACAGTTTATTATTATTATTATTATTATTATTATTATTATAATAATATTATTAGTATTAGTATTAGTATTAGTATTATTTATTAAATTTGTATACTGCCCTTCATCCGCAGAGCTCAGAGCAGTTACAACATAAAAAATACAATATAAAATACACAATAAAAATAAGAGCAGAAACCAATAACTCCCCTCCCCTTCCCTCCACTCGTATACATGTCTTTTTAAACATATATACCTATGTAATATAACAGTAAGATAAATGATATAATATACAAATTATATGTTTTTGCATGCAGCAAAATAGATAAAATAGTAAAATTGCAGTAATTGAAAATTGAAAATAATCCAAAATTGTTTGATTTTCTTACATTTAGAGCCCCCATTGCTTAAATTAGGGACCTTTCTGGCTGGGGCTGATGGGATTTGTAGTCCAGCAACATCTGGAGGGCACCTGGTTGACTAATGCTGCCCTGAATGATGGGAGTGAGGACACGGCAACAGAAGGAAGGAGCAACAATGGAAGGAAACAGATTGTTATAATTCTTAACAGATTATTCACCTGCTCTTCACCAGCAGGTCCCATTAAAAATGGTTGAAAGCAAAGTACAGACGTGCATCAGATCATAACAAGAGCTTGCTGGATCAGGCCAATGGCCCATCTAGGCCAGCATCTCATTCTCACAGTGACCAACGGAGAACCCACAAGCAGGATTCGAACCCAAAAGCCCTCTCCCCTCCTGCAGTTTCCAGCAACTGATATTCAAAAGCACTACTGCCTCCAACTGTAGAGGGAGAGAACAGTCCTCATGCTTAGCAGCCATCAATAGCCGTGCCTTCCATGAATTTGTCCAATTTGCTTTTAAAGTAATCCCTTCCACGTCTGTCTCCTGTGGCAGGGAGTTCCACAGTTTAAGTATAAGCTACATGAAGAAGTATTGTCTTTTATCTGTCCCAGGGCCGGATTTAGGTTTGTTGAGGCCCTAAGCTACTGAAGGTAATCGGGCCCTTTATATGTCCAGCTGTCCTTTGTCAACATCAAATGATTGCAGTTTTTTGTGTTGAATATATGCCATATGGTAACTTATGGACCTAAAGCCATTTGCACTTAAGAAAACATGTATTTTATCAAAGTAATTGTTGAACTGAAATACAATTAAGAAGAAGTACAGTGGTACCTCGGGTTACATATGCTTCAGGTTACAGACTCCGCTAACCCAGAAATAGTGTTTCAGGTTAAGAACTTTGCTTCAGGATGAGAACAGAAATTTTGCTCCAGCGGCACAGCGGCAGCGGGAGGCCCCATTAGCTAAAGTGGTGCTTCAGGTTAAGAACAGTTTCAGGTTAAGAACGGACCTCTGGAATGAATTAAGTACTTAACTCGAGGTACCACTGTATATTAATAGTGAAACACTTGCTGCATGTAGGTTTTATTTTATTTATTTTTTCTATTATATTTTGGAAATGTACATCCAGTTGTTTTTTCCCCTTTAATTTTTTTGGGGGCCCCCAAGAGAGTGGGGCCCTAAGCTATAGCTTGTTTAGCTTATACGTAAATCTGGCACTGATATGTCCTGAATCTTTCAACGTTCAGCTTCATTCAATGTGCACGAATTCAAGCGTTCTGAGAGAGGGAGCAAAACCTTTCTCTGGCCATTTCCCCCGTGCCATGCATACGTCTATAAATTTCTATCATGTCACCTTTTGCTTCCCTTTTCTCTAAACTACAGAGTCCCAAACGCTGCAACCTTTCTTTGCATGGTCATGAAAAGACGGTGGGCCCTGGAACCACACATCTCAGGTGTCAAAAGCCCAAGAGGTGTGTCTTGCTGGCTGAGGCTGATGGGAGTTGCAATTGAACAATATCCAGATTGTTAAGTTGTGGGTGAACATATCAGACGACACAGCGATTCTTCAAACAGCTCTTGTTTATTCAGAGGCCAGAACAGAACTGAACTGAAGGGTTCAGTCAGCCTGCTTATATAGAGCTCCAGTACACATAATTGTAACAACTTTCTAAAACTATCCAATCACTGAACGTCACTTTCAATCCCTTATTTGCACAACTATCTACAGTATCCCCCTGCTGGCCCAGGGTGAGAACTTCAGTACATAACACCCCTCCCCACCGAGATAAGGCGTTAGTTACAATCGTAATGGTTTCCTTATATACAGCACTGCACGTAATGGTTCAATTAGGCACAAAAGCATATTGGTTACATTTCACATACTTCCATTAGACCAACAGTATTACATGTCCAACAACATAGTCCTTTAAATACGTTGGGCCCTTGGAAACTCTGCCAGACTGCCGGGGAGCGGTACCCAGGTCCGGTGGGCTGCCCGATTCTTGAAATCAAGTCCCCTGGATCCACTGCTGTGGGTGGAACATCCGCAAGTAGAGAGCTACAGGTTCTGCACTCCTGCTTCAAAATTTTCCACTATACTACTGAGATGAAGGACAATCCATCATGCTTCATTTGAAATATGTAAGTGCTCTTATTGAATGCAGCCCCCCCCCATAACATTTGCACATTTTTCTCTGGAAATAAAGGCACGCCAAAGTTTTGTAGGAGGTTAAGGAACTTTGGGTGGCAGAAGATGAGCTTGTGTACACAAAGGTGGAATCTCTCTGTTTTCTTCTTGCCAAGGCCACTGTGGAAGGGAGCCTTCAGATCCCTGCAGAGACAGTGAACCGCCAGGCCGGGTAAAGTATTTAATGGTTCTGAATTTATTTGCATCAATAAATACATGACAAGGTAACAGTCAAATAAATACTCATTAGCACTCATTACTCCACTTTAATTATGAGAGCTGGGTGTAGGCAATCATTTCCTGCTAAGGCAGCATTAAATGAATTTTATTATTATTATTAAATGAAATGCTTTTCAGCTTCAAGCTAGGTGGGGCTCAGAGCAAGGAGGCACATGGCAGGATTGGACCAGAGACCTGCATGCAGAATGGAAACTAGGTATGGGCAAATCTATCTCTTTCAATTTCTCTGTTTCTCATTTTTTCCCATTCTTAAATTCCGTTCTCCATCATTTAATATCAGTTTGCTGTTTGTTTTGAAGTCCTCATGAAAATTAATGGGTATTTTAGCACCATTTTCTTGTAACCTACACATTTTTTTCTAAGCAATTTTCTCTAATATGCACATCTTTGCAAAAAAATTAAAAAAATCATAATACAATGCATTTTGTATACTCCCCCCACCACTAACATATGCGTTTTTATGTGCACTTTACTCTAGTATGTGCATTTTTTAAAAAAACAACAACAAAAACACATAACTTGGCTGAAGAACCACCTTGCAAAATTCAGAGAAGCACACATTTCAAAGGATGTTTCAGTTTTGGTTCACATCTTTCTCAGAAAGTGCAAATTAGGTACGCTCACCTTTAAATGGACAATGATGAGTGGTCAGAGGGAGAAGAGGAGATGTTGGGTAGTAGGGCTTAGTGAGCTGGGAGAGTTTGCAGCAGAGAGAAGTCCAAAATCAGAGTCAGAAGCTGAAGCTGGCAAATGGGAGGAGGGAGGCCAAGAGGTAAAGATGAGTCAGGCTGGGGAAGAGACATGAGCGCCTCCCCCTCCTGCTGTGGCCAGCTCCCCTCCTCCCCGACTTCCAGAACCAGGAGAGGGCTGACATGGGTGGAGCAATGACAGGCTGCATGAAGGTGCAGTCTCCGATTACTTGGGGGGGAAACCCTGGAGAGGAGTGGACTTAGATGGCTGCGGGGAGGTGGGGACTTTCAGTCTCAGCAACTGATTCCTAGGGTAATACCTACTGGGGGTGAGCTGCTGTGCTCATTAGGCCCTGACACATTGCCAAGTTTGTGAAGGTCGTGTTTTTGCTAACAAAGAGTTAACTCCAACCTGAACGAATTGATTTACTGCCTGCTTACTCTTTCATGGACGTGGGTGGTGCTGTGGGTTAAACCACAGAGCCTAGGGCTTGCCGATCAGAAGGTCGGCGGTT